CGTGTTCACCAAAACCGGTGAGTTCTCTTGTCTATTCCGATTACAAGCTATAAAAGAACAGAGGGAACTTCNTCTAATAATACCGAGTAAAGAGAAAANCCTANCGTATTATATATATCTTTGTTCTCTCTTGAAGGGCCATATATATTCAGCTTATTGTGCTTGGGCTTTAGCCATACGTGAGCCCATCTTCTCTCTTCCTCTCATTTGTAATCTCTTTTGTTAGGCCCAATTGTTTGGTCCACCAATATCTGAGTCAACCTTTCAGAATCCAAAAGAAGGAAGAATTCTTCTTACTCGTCGTCTAATTGTGGTCACTTCTTCGTTCGTTACGGAATCTGTTGCAACTGCAGATCGACGGTGGAGAGACACGAAGGCCGAGCATTCGACTATCTCGTCGACGGTTTGCAGTTAAGCCACGAAGCAATCACCTTGACGATGCGACTTACAACTCAAGTCACTTGTCTCAACGACAAGAAACATCACTTGGTACTTGACTTGGACACACGCTTCTCCACACCGTTATGGTTTCGGAGCTTACCGAAGAAGAAAAGTATCTAATCGGAGAAGTAGATTTAAGGGAAGATCTATGGAGGTTCAACAGAGGCTACTCAAGCGAGTTTTTGATAAAGCTAAGACCTTTCGTTTGCGAGTTTCTTAAAGAAGCCAACAAGATGTTCTCCATGTATGTTTACACGATGGGTGATCGCGATTACGCAAATACCGTTTTGAAACTGATTGATCCAGAGAAAGTATACTTTGGACGTCGAGTCATAACCAGAAAGGAGAGTCCTTATATAAAGACGCTTGATCTTGTTTTGGTTCATGAATGCGGAGTCGTGATTGTGGATGATAGTTCTCATGTTTGGCCTGATCACAAAAGAAACTTGCTAGAGATCACCAAGTACAACTATTTCAGAGACAAGACAAGCCGCGATGTGGATTACTCAAAATCGTATGCAGAGGAGAAGAGAGACGGGAGTCAGAAGGATGGATCGTTGGCGAATGTTTTAAGAGTTCTCAAAGACGTTTATGAAAGAATCTTCAACGGTGGAATTGAGAAAGAGTTAGATGTTGATTCCAAGGATGTGAGGATGTAACTTCATGATCCATGTAGACCATGGTGATCTGTTTTTTGTTGTTGTTTTGTATCTTCTATACCTCCCCCCGTATTTCTCTCAGTCCTTCCTTTGTACGTGGTTAAACTAGATTTAGAAAGTAAACAAAGAGAGAACAATTCAGAATTCTAAGAACACTTTTAAAGTTTTAACGAGTTCAAATTTTGCAATAATTCTTCCTTTCTTTCAGTTTCAACAACCTTCGAAATATGAATAACACAATCTCACCAACACTAGCAATATATCTCCCATCCAAACTGAACTTCTTTTGTGTTCATAGAAAGGAGAGATGGTTGGCATCTCCTCTAACAGAGACGGGATTGACCTTCGGGTCTTTGAACACATATCGATCGGTTAAGGCTTTCCACCTTCGGGTGGATCTGAACCCAACTTTTT